AACTCTCACTGAGGAAGAGGAGGAGGAAGAGTCTGTCAACTTAGAAACACACTGAGAATAAGTTTATTAACTCTCACTGAGGAAGAGGAGGAGGAGGAGGAAGAGTCAGTCCTCCAGCTGAGGAGGAGGAGGAGAGGGAGGAGGAGGAGGAGGAAGAGTCTGTCAACTTAGAAACACACTGAGAAAGAGTTTATTAACTCTCACTGAGGAAGAGGAGGATGAAGATGAGTGGATTTAACTCCAGAGAAATAAACTCTGTGTCTACATGTTCAAATCTGCACAAACAGTGGATAAGATAAGTTAAGATATAAGATAAGTTAAGATATTATAAGATAAGTTAAGATATTATAAGATAAGTTATTACAGTATTTGGGTCAAACATTAGAAATCTAATTTATTGTATTTTGAGAAAAACGTTGAAATTGAAGTATTTCTATAATAAGAATTTATCCTCTGGATGTTTTCCAGTGAATCTCGTGTTTCTGTCTTAAACTGTGTGTTTGTGTTGTTTCAGTTCTTCCTGCTGCTTCAGCCACCGGCTGTGATGAAGCGAAGCCTCTTAACAGTGAGTTTATTTTCCTCTTGTGTGAAATATCATCATGAATTTCTGTGTCTGTCGTTCAGAGCAGCTGAAAAACAACATCTGCTTCCACAACGTTCAGTGAATCTGATTTGACAGGTCGATGAGTCGGTGGGTTTCTAGAAACTAAGATTTCAACTTTTCACAAAATCTAGAAATCAAACTTTCCATCGTTTAACCAGTAGAATTATAAAATAAATCAAAATATGATTCAACAAAGTTGGTTAAAATCAAAGTCTTCTGCCACAGTAAATATGATTAATAATAAATATTGACAATAATGAATGTTGATAATATAAATATTGATAATAATAAATATTGCCTTCCTGTCCCGTTTCCAGCTGAAACCACGTATCACACATTAGAGGACGGAGGCGTGGTCGAGTACTGCACCACCACTGTGAGTGACTCCGCCCCCACTGTGGTGGCAGCTGTCGAGGCTCCTGTAGAGATGCTGGCCTCGTCCTCCTCCTCCTCGCCTCCCCCTCCTCCTCCTCCTCCTCCTCCTCCTCAGGCTCAGGCCAAACCTCAGGAGCTGAAGAGCCGCATCGCCCTCAACTCCGCCCGCCTGCTGCAGGAGCAACGCGTCACCAACGTCCACATCCGACAGATCGCCCAGCACCTGGAGGGCCAGAACGAGCTGCTGCACATGATGCGGCGCTCGCAAGAGGCGCAGGCGTTCGCACAGGAGAGACAGGCCCAGGCGCTGGAGGGGACGCAGGCCGCCCTGCTGGCTCTGGTGCAGATGCTCAGACCGGTTCTGAAGGACCTGCGCAAATTCCTGCAGAGCGGGACGGAGGTCGCTAACGCCAGCGGCTCCTCAATAGCAATGACTGATGGATCCGGACCAGAAGAACAAAACAGACCTAAAACTCCACCTGCACCTCCGCCACAGCAAACTGAGGAGACGCAGTAGAGTGTGTGTGTGTGTGTGTGTGTGTGTGTGTGTGTGTGTGTGCTCAGCGGACAATGAAATGCTCAGAATCGCCTTCAGGAGCATGTACAGTTTTTTACTGATGTTTTATGACTGAAAAGTAAAAGTTTATGTTGAACGTGGTTTTTATTTTTGCTCCGTGTCATTAACGGACTGAGTTTGTTTCACTTGAAGGATGTTTTTAATTCATGAAGTTTAAACTCTGAGTTTCTTCAAGTCTGTGATGTTTGAATAATAATAATCCGTCTGTTTTTTAAACCTGTCGTCAGTTGTGTTCTTCACTTCAGGCTGCATCCCCCAGAAACAACCAGCAGAGGGCAGCACCTGTTAACAGATTGATCTGTGGCAGCAGAGATGAATCTTTAGATTTAGAAAATAACTCCACACTTTTATTTCTTGACTCAGTGAATGTTCATGTTCACAGTGAAAATCTAAATTAGATTCCCTCGTAGAGACGACAACATGATCATCTGAAGCTTCATGTGACCTGATGAATTCAGCAGCTTCTCCTTCATTACAATCATCTGGTTTTAGCTCCTGTCTCTTTAAGACCCCCGCCTGATAAAGCTCTGCTCTGATTGGTCAACAGCTTCCAGCGCGTGTACGAAATATCTGCGCTCGCAGTTTATCGATCTGGATTTGTGAAGTGAAAACTGCGTCAGGGTTTTTTTATCTTCCGACCGAGTCGTTTCAGGAGCTGCAGCGTTTTCTGCCTTTTCACAGATTGTGAATGTTTTAACTTTTAAATTCACAGAAAAGTTCAGAAACCCTTTTTATCTGATTCAGTCTCTAACTTCTGGATGCAATGACTCCGTACGCAGAGTTTCAGCTCAGTGAAAACTTGGAGACGTGACCATCAGGAGAGACGGCGAGGTGAGAGCGCCTCAGCTTCTGATGGATTAGTGAGCGTCAATCCCTTTTTTATTGAACAGACTTCGCCCAATAAAAAATAACCTGCAGTTACGTGGTTATTCTGGTGTGAAACACTGAAACACATGTCTCCTGTAATGATAAATTACAAAGTGTTTATTTAAATCCACTGAACAGTTATTAAATATCTTTACTATCATCTGTAATAGTTTTGGTTTTTATCAGAAAAGTCTTCGTTCCTTTCGCTGCTCAGACTTTGTGCACGGTCCCTAACTGTGATGCGTTCAGGGACCGACTCAGAGCCTCGGACACTGGGTTTCTGAAACTCAGTAACCTGAGTGTTCAGGGGAAAGTGGGTGAAGATGCGCCGGGGCTGAGCTGCGGTGAACACCCGGGACTCCGCTTCTCCGTGGCGGGACACAGCTGCACGTTTCTCCCGGTGAGAGGATGACCGCGACCGGACGTCTGGACGAAGTTTACGTGTGAGAACGAAGGTTTGTGAGAGTTACGTTGTTTGCGTGGCAGCAGCTGTTTGCGTAGAGAACAGTGACGTCAGAGAGAAGAACCAGAGAGGTGTAAATGAAACGTGATTTTAAAATGAAGCGTTTTTCTGAAGTTGAGGAAACTTGAGAGTTTCGAACTTTGATTCTTTTTCTTTTTCCCGCAGGTTTCACCTCTGACATGATGAGTTCACGGCCTCAGCTCAGCTCCAGGACGTTTCTGATGAAGAAGAAGAAGTTTAAGTTCCAGGTGCACTTCTCTCTGGATCAGCTGACCGCGGTGCCCTTTGTCAACGGACTCCTCTTCTGTAAGATTCGACTCATCGATGGAGGAGACTTCTCCATCCTGTCCTCCAGGTGTGTTCTTTTCACCTGCACGACCTGAACACAACACCTGAGCTTCACCTGCTCAACATGAATCTGTTCCTCAGGATTCACCTGTGTGTCCTGAACTGGTGTCACACTGGTGTCACACTGGTGTCATCACTCTGTACTGGTGTGACAGGTATGACAGCTGGTGAGACACTGGTGTGAAACTAGAGTTAAACTGAAACTAGAGTTAAACTGATGTAAAACTAGAGTTAAACTGAATCTAGAGTTAAACTGGTGTGAAGCTAGAGTTAA